AAGTGTTGCCGGCCGTACCCCGCCGTAATTAGTGCCCTCTGACTATGTGGAAATTCGAATTCGAATTGTCGACCCTCGAATTATATTTTTTTTTCCCACTGTGCGTGATCCCCATTCACTTGGGGTTGGGTCCATCTTTGCGCTTCACTGTGTATTGCGGCTATTACGCTTAGTAGGTTTTTACTTAATTTATGACCCCTTACGTCTTAGTAATCTATAGATATAAACATAAATAAATAAATTTCTTTAGGATGGTTTCTTTTGCCTAATGTTTATCGTAACTTGAGTGATTAATGGCTTCTTGTGCCCTTGTGTTTATAGTTTTTTTTTACTGTTTCATTTGCATGAGAATCTTGGAAATTGTTTGTGACTAATTAATTTTACCTGAAGAATTATTGTTAGTTTTGCGTATTTCGTATTAACTAGTATTAATATTATTGGGTGGTCATGGTCATCCAATTTGGTAGCTACTTATCTAGTTTATGCAGACTTGGATATTTGCCAGGCAGGTGTGCTGATATTGATCCTTATCGCATGCCGCCCGCACGTGTGGTAGCCCAGGAAATTTTCATTGGAACTGATCGTCTCTCTCACACCTTTTAACCAGGTCAAACACTTGAGGACTTAGTCCAGGGGGAGGTACCACACACAATTTGCACTCTTTTGCACTTGGGACAGTTATCACGTGTAGAATCGATATTGATTTTTTATTATTTTACGGCGTTAAACAGTTATCACGTGTAGAATCGATATTGATTTTGTGTTATTTTACGGCGCACTTTTTGCACTTGTTTGTTTATTTATTTATTTATTACCGATTACCGGTATTTCCGCATACTTAGATTCGCTTTTGATACTTTACTACGTTTAAACGCGTTTGTATCGTATACGCTGCTTAGGAGAGGTCTCGTTAAATCTCTTTGAGCATCCTTACACTTCAAGAGTCAAGACCCAACTTCTAATCGAGCACAAAAAACATTTTGAACAAATATTTGTAAACCAAAAAAGCAGTGGGAATTAATAAAATGTACTGTAGGTAAAAATAAGACTAAAGTGTATTAAAATCCAAGCTGGACTAAACAAAAACGCCCAGACGCATGATAACTCGTTCTTATTGGTCGATTCTGATGGTGTGATTGATTTGGAGGATTGTGTTTACATTTAGTCCAGCTTGGATTTGAATAGACTTTAGAGTAAATATCTCAAAAATAATTGTCAATGGTAAAAAAATTTCTTACCATGGAAAAATTGCTAATGAAGCCAACAACTACTTCATAAAGATTGTGGAAAACATTATCCAGCCAACAAAAGAAATTCTATCTGTAATAAACCATCTAAAAACAAAGTCTAGTCCTGGCCATGATGAAATAAAAACGATAATTGTTAAAAAACTAAAGAGTATTCTAGCACCTGCCCTTTCAAAAATTATTAACAAAAACCTCAAAGAAGGCTACTTTCCGGACATAGGTACTTAAAAACACCAGTGCACAAAAAGGGCAGAAAACTGAGTTATGTGACTATACCCCCATATCTGTCCTGTCCGTTTTTTCAAAAATATTTAAAATAGTATTACACAAAAGGCTTCTTGACTTCCTGCTAAAGGTACATTTTATAAGTTTTAAACAAAATGGTTTACAACAGAAGAAGATCAAACAAACAGCTATTGCTAACCTCACAAAATATATCTATTAAAATGTAGGTGATAAAAATACTGTATTAACCATGTTCCTGGATCTATGCAAAGCTTTTGATGTAGTAAACCATAAAATCCTGCCAGAAAAATTAAAATGTGCTGGTGTTGTATGAAGAAGTCACAACATTTTTACCAGATACCTAAGAAATCGTGCGCAATATACTTATATTGGTAATAAAAAAGTGGCTTTAAAACTATACCATATGGAGTGCCGCAGGGCTCTGTACTCGGACCTCTCCTTTTTCTAATATACATAAACGATTTTAAAAAAATGTCATATTATAGGAAACATGGTGTTATTTGCAGATGACACAGGTCTATTTTACGCAGGCAATGAAAAAGCTATATTTAAACAAACACAAAAGGATCTGCTGCTTCTCAGCTCATGGACCGAAATGAACAATATTAAGATAAATGACGACAAGTTCAACTATCTTGTAATTAAAAATAAAATAAACTGTAATAAAAACACTCTAAAACTTAACAATAAAACACTTAAACAGTGCAAAATACTAAGTTTGACATTAGATTACTCCTTATAAGTGATGAAATTAAAACTATAAAACTAAAAATAGTGTGTTACTCTCTCCGAAGAACCTCACATCTAATGTAGCTAATTATCTGCTTTTTGGGGTCACGCAAGAAAAAAGACCTGGATGATTTACAAGTGACACAAAATTTTGTTGTAAAGACGATATAGGGCGAATACAAAAGATTTCTATAACAAACTTAACGTTCTACAAGTGAATGAAATAATAATAATGCTAGACAGTGTAAAAATGATACACAAAATTAAAAACATTTAATTTATACAAGCATAGATCTACACTAAAACTGTGAAATACATCAGCACAATACCAGAAAAAATCAACAATACTATAGTATATACGTATACGTTTTACCAGATCCATTAACACTGGTAGAAAAATAATTACACAACAAGCGATAAGATTGTATAATGAACTTTAAAACACACAGTTAAAAGTTTTTCTACTAAGGTTAAAGAATATTATATTCAAATTACAAATGACATAATTTTTTTTGCAAAAAATTTATATTTATAATCTTATAAGATTATAAATATAAATTTTAGTATTTAAATATAATTATATTTAAATACTATCTGTGATTTGTCTATATGTTATTTATCTTTATATTTTTATCTAAGTTCTTTAAATTGTATCTACTTTATCTATGAACCTGATATGGAATGTATATTCTTTTTATGGTTTAATAAATAAATAAAAAAATTCTTAATACAAAAATTACGGCAGAAATTATAAATCGATTTTTCTTTTTTAAGAAGCATTTTTATTTTTGATTTTTCTAAAAAGGTAATTCTTGAAATCATGTTTTACATGGACGACGTTGGGCTTTAACAGGACAGCGCAACTTGCCACATAGCCAACATAACAATCGAACTTTTGGGCACCGTTTTCGAAAACTGAATAATCAGCCAAAATTCTGATGTCAATTGGCCGCCTCAGAGCTGTGATTTCAGCCCGTTTGACTATTTTCTGTGGGGGAGCCGTTAAGGATAAATGTTTCGATAACCATCCAGAGATAATTGAGGTCTTGAAACACGAAATCAAAGTTGCCATTCAAGAAATTTAAGCGGGAACAATCGAAAAATTACTTGAAAATTGGGTTGATCGAATGGGGTACTGTCGGGCCAGATGTGGCGGTCATTTGAATGATATTTTGTTTCATTCTTAAATGTCAAGGTTTAACCTTTCTAATGAAACAATATTTTTGAAAAAGTATTTATTCGTTTTTTATTAATGGCCGATTTAAATTTAAAATATGAAATGGCCCACCCTTTATTTTATATTTGGTCATTTTTCTTAATAAAATTATGTTAAATAGTCCCTTTTAAAGCTGACAACAACAAAATCGTCCTGCTTGGAACTCAAGCCGACCAAGCGGAGGGCTTTGAGTTCCTTCAAAATCTACAAAGGCCCGCTATGATCGTTGAGGCCCACTTTTTGCAAAAATATCGAAACATCTGGGTCTGCTGCGTGTGAACTACTTTATTGTTATTCCAGGTTTAATAAAACCTATAGGTTTATAGATTTTTTTTTAAGTTTATAAATAGATAGATTTTTCATGGTTTTAAAATCTGTAAAAAATCTTCAACTACTTTTTTATTTAAACATCCTTTACGTCGTCAAAAAAAAATATATTTGTTAAGTAAACTGTACAGTTAATGACGAAATAATTTTATTTACTTGGTAGTTAAAGATAATTTCATTGATCTTTTTATTTTAAACAAATAAGGTTCAAACCATTCACAGCCATGAAGTTATCAGGACTAATCTTGTTTTTGATAAGTTTAAAATCAAACTGTGCTATACTGCCAAATTTAATTGGTGATTTTTTAAAGTATTATGGAAAAAATACCATGATTTATGGATTTTCTTGTAATTCATCAGGTCAGTAAACCCTGCAAATGGTTTTATACCATTATATTCCTTTTCTTATTAAAATTAAAACGATATGAGAACCTTTTTACCACATAAATTCAAATAAATAGTTTTAATATTTTTTTAGAATCCTACTCCATCTTTAAAGTTACTATTAAATTTGGCCATAAGGGGCTAATCATTCCACTTCAAATTGATGATTTACTCAACCCCATTCCACCCCAAAATGCACTTTTCGTTTTAAATATGAGGTGTACATTTTATAAGTTTATTAATCAGGTACCTATGTAATATAATTATTAGTATGAAATTATATTGAATCGTCCTATTTTAAGGCTGACAGCAAAAGATTTTTTGCTTCACCTTACAAATGGCTGCTATATTTTGATGATACCACTAACAACATAGAGAGTCGTATTAATTCCACATTTTTTAATAAAAATGTTTTAATAGACAGTGATGTAAATATTGCGCATTTAAAAAATAATGACACAGTTATAATAAATAAAATTTATAAAAGACGAAAAGAATCTCGGATAATTTACGAATACATGGGATATTGGACCTTAACAGAGGGATTTGTAAATGAAGATTTTGAAAAAATAACAGCAGTAAGGCGAAGGAATTTAGAGCAAATGGTGATAAAATCTTGTATTGTACTAACAAATAAGAACTCCATAAATCACCTTACTGACAAAAGGTACCATTTCATATTAACAAAATTAACCCCATTAATTTTTTTTTATAGAAACAAACATATCGATAGCATAGCTAAAGTAAACTATGTATTAGTAGAACACCTATTCTCAATAATTAATGCAAAATTTAACTACACCATTCGAGACACATGGGGTTATAAAAACAAGCAAGGAAAATGGAGCGGTATGATAGGTGAACTAATAGAAAATAGAGTCGATATTGGTGGTACTCCTTTGTTTTTAACAATAGATCGAATCGATATAATTGAATATATAGCAATGACAACACCTACTAGATCGAAATTTGTGTTTAGAGAGCCAAAACTGTCTTATGTTACTGATGTCTACACATTACCTTTTGATAATTCGGTTTGGTACTGCACCATAGCGTTGGTTCTTTTTAGTTCGATTATATTGTTTATTGCTATTAAATGGGAATATATTTTAAAGGGTGAAGATTATCACTTTAAGGTAAATAATTTTTTAGTCATCCAATATAAAATAGATTATTATAATAAATTCAAAAATAATCATATTTTTTCCCTATTTTCTGCCAAAAATGTATCCGAAATTTTTCATCTAAAAAGCATAAAATATTCTTTAATTTATTTTATGATTTGTGATAGTCTACCGCTGGTAGATAACATTATTTTCTCATTTGACAACTTTTACTTTTCCAGCATATATCGACTTAACATTTATTTTTTTTACATGCGAAGACTTAATCCGGTGCGTTTGCTATAAAACTGCATCTACGTTAATAACACTCCCTAAAAATGAATGAATCAAAAATAACTAATTGTCATAGCGAAAAAGCAGCCACTAATAATTTTCGTCAAAAGCAATTTGTATCCCAGATATTTAGCAGTCAATTCCTAGGTAAAATTGTTCAATGAATCCAAAAATGTCCTCAAAAGTTATAAAAGTAGAACAGTTTTTAAGATATATTTAATTATATATATATATATATATATATATATATATACAGGGTGTCACAAATTTTGGAGGGAAAAATTCGTCTTAATTTTGCACCCTGTATATTTTCAAATTAAAATCTGAATAAAATAGTATATTTTGAATTACAGTAAGGATAGTTTATCGATCGACGCACAGTGTTTCAATTCTCGAAAATATCGGCAAAACCTCAAAAATTGACATTTTTTTTCAGGTAAATTTTAAGTTAGATGTCTCCATCCTGTAATGAAAAAAAATTATATAAAATACGTATATTTTGTCTTGTACATCAGTTTAAACTTGACACTTTCAGTTGAAGGTACTTTACACGCGATCGCTGCGTAAAATTGTTTATTGTTTAAAACTTGTGTTTGGTGTGTCCGATTGTTATGCGGTTTGATGAAGGGTGATCTTTAAGGTATGCTCTCTAAAAATGAATTAGTCAAAAATGACTAATTTAATAGTTATTAGTGGCTGCTTTTTCAATTGTACCATGGTTAACCATGGAATTCTATGGTACCTATCCCAAAATTTAAAAGCCAATTCTTATGTAAAATTGTCCCCTAAATCCAAAAATGTCGTCAAAAGTTAAAAAGTAGAACTGTTTTTGAGATATAGTCAACTTTCCATTTAATATTGACTATTTCTCAAAAACTGCTCCACTTTCATAATTTTTGAAGGTATTTTCGGATTCAGGGGACAATTTTACATAGGAATTGGCTGTTAAATTTTGGGATACCATGGTATTGCATGGTTAAACATGGTACAAGTGAAAAAGCAGCCACTAATAACTATTAAATTAGCCATTTTTAACTAATTCATTTTTAGAGAGTGTAAAATTCAGATATGTATTTGTTTTTCGTAGATTTTGCTTGTACAACGGGTTATTGTAACTGACAATTGTAGCTCCATTGTTCTAAAAGCTCGATTAAAAGTTTGCGATTTTAACAGACCGATCTTAAGATCGAGCTTTTAGAACAATGGAGCTACAAAAATTATAATGAATTGTAAGGCATCAGTTCAAGATCCGTTAAATAGCTTAGAGTTTTGTCTATCAAGCCATCATGATGGCTGCAATAAATTATCTGCCCCAACTCGCCCCCGGCTCTTTAAAACTACATGTTCTTGGGCGCTCAGGCACGGTTGTAGTAAAAAACCTCGCGATTTTAAGCCTATGTCGCGCGCGTATCTGTGTTTTTGCTTTTTTTTATTTCTGGGTTGCGTTCATGGCGTTTAAAAGATTTACTCGGATTTAACTAAAAACGTTTATTACAACAGCGGTGTCTAGACTTTCACTTGCGTAAATCGTTCGTGACTACTAAGATATTTAACACCGATTTTACATATTTAACCCACCTCTTGTAGGTGCGTTAAAACAACTCCGCATGCGCATTGTAGTGTGTTAATGTCAAATTTGAATTGTGGTTATTTGTGTTGACAACTTTTTTAGCGAATTAAGAAATCGTTGCTAAAATATTAAGTAAGTAAAAGAAATAATAACAATTTTAAAAACTTAGTATAAAATCTGTTAATATTTATGTAGGTATTAAATAATATCATATAAATGTAATTATAATAAACTAAATTAAGCTATTTTATAAAAAGATGTTTTATTTACATTTAAAAAAACCTCTTACGGGTTTTTAATTAATTTCGACAATTTTTTTATAAAAATGTCCGCCATTTGAGGTCCACCATTTTGAATTTTGGAATTCTGATTCCAGATTCGTTATGAGCCTCAATTTTTTGACAAATATGTCCGCCATTTTGTATCTACCACGGCAATCTCCAGCACAACTCTTTCTGGGACGTTCTCTACGCACTCGCCTCGACTTACTCAAGACAAAATATATGTAAACAAAAATCATCTAGAAGCAGCGAGCAAATTTTAAACCTTCATTTCATTTCATTTCAACTATTTCACCCAGCACATGCGGTTTATTTTCTCTCTGGAAATCCGCGGATAGAGAAATTTATTCCCGGCACCATCATCTCAGAACTTGGTGACCTCACTACGACTTTTTCGGAAAACACTACAAGACATATTGACCAAATTCGAGGGCACCTAGAATCCAGGCACTTGCTACAGCCAGGTAATGAGTTGCCATATTCTCAAGGAAAACGCAACATGTTGCAACGAACAATCGTGGCGTCGACTACACTATTACGGAGTGGGCCCTACTGCTATAGAAACTATCCCAGCAGCAGCAGGCCAGGCCAGCAACACTCAGGAGTTTACGACACGCCTTGCCGGAACGCGGCTCTCCTGGACAGGCCGCGAAGATATTTAAATATCAAGAAACCCCCTCAACTTTTTTTGCCGAGTTAAACGGTAAAAAAGTGCAAGGCGCTCTGAGGGGGAAACAAATGTTGTGTCTTTGGTATTACCATTTATAATTTAATTTTGTTTGAATATTGGTGCGCGCGTACCTATGTATGTTTATTGTTAGACTAGAACTGACAATAATAACAATTAACAACTTTGTTAATTGTAATTATTGTCGTTATGGTGGTTGTCAAATGAATGAGCATTACGAAATTGAATAAAAAAGTTAAGGAAAATCGGAGTACCTATAAATAAACGGATACAAAACAAGCAAAAGAACTGTTGGCATATTTTGTTCAAAGAAATGCAAAATTGAAGTATTGTAGTTAGGTATTTTTATAAATATCCAAAGAATTGTTTACCGAGCGTGGAATCATAGAATCATAGCAATTACTCCCGATGATGAATGTTTCCGAGCGAGCCGATAGGCGAGTGAAGGATTTCATTGAGGAAGTAATGGCGATTCCACGCGAGGTAAACACCATACTTTTTTGTCGAGTGGTGCTAATTATTAATTAATTCTTAGGAAATTAAAAAAAGTAACCTCTAATTAAAAACTGACGTTTACATTCCTAAAGTCGATCCAATTAAGTCCGCTTACCCACTTCCATAGAAAAAGAATACTTCGTTATTTAAGCTTAACTTTATAAATGCTCACTTTCGCTTAAAAATACACAATTTGGGTAGGTACCCGCAAAAAAACTTAAATCTGACGTTTACATTCAAAGTCATTCACACTGTAGCGACGCGTCGTCAAGGTAGCGGGACGGAATAGAATATCTGGTTAGCGGGAGGGAATGAAAATATATCGATGGTTATTTGACAAAAAACATCGTATAGTATAGTAAGCGACAAAACCTAAATTTTACAGGAGATTTTTTTTGTGTGGGAGCTTTATTTTTAAAGTTATGTATCTGAAAACTGGTGAGGCATTATTTTATTAATGTAGAATTCAAATATTTAAGTTAGATCGAATCCAATCTAAAATTTTCATTAAATTTTGTGGCATACCATATTTTATAAGAACATCTTTAGGAAAATGTAAAATTAGTCTTGTTGCTTTACGTTAGTGGGATATATATTTGATGATTACTTTTGTCAAAACATTGTTAATGACATTTACAATTTATAAAATATCACCAACGATATTTTGCGAAACAATGTTTGAAAATGAAAATCTACATTAGCTTTCTTTGAAAAAAAAACGAACGATTATTATTCACAAACCAGTATCTAACTAGAGATGCGACTTGAAAAAAAAACGGTCCGTTTTTTTCATTGTTTTTTTTTCAAATGGTTTTTTCTTCACATTTTAGGTTTTTTTCAAGATTAGTCCCGTTTGCCTAATTTTTTATGTTTCCAGCAGTTCATGGACTAAAATTTGCCTCTAAATGACAATTAGTAAATGTAAATGCTATGCACGCGCCACCACCACCGAATTGACCAATAAGGGCCGCGCTTGTTTTGATTTGGTCCTAAAAAAAGTAACTACATATAATATTTTTGATTCAGATTTGATTTTTCAAAAAGCACTTTTTTCATGATTTTTCAAATTCATGTAGAGTATGGATTAAAAAAAAAAACAATAGCAAATTCTTGTTCATTGGTGGTTAATTCATATTCATTGGTGGTTAAGTCAGAACATTCTGTGGACCAGAAAGCCAAAAAAATATCGATTTTTTTATTACGGTATTCGTTAGGCCTAAAATGTGCAATGTGCAATGCTCAATCCTATAGGATTGAGCATTGCACATTTTTCATCTAAAAATCTCAAAACTAGAAACGTCAAGCTTCAAATTGCTTTTTTTACGGCTCCAATAAGACCATTTTTAACAAAGATACAGCTATCCGAAGAATCGCAATGTATTAGTGTAGAAGTTTTACATTGCTACTGGTTTCTAATGTGGAAACTACCAAATAATAAGAAATCAGATTTTTTAGTCTCGGTCAAAATTTTAAATAATGAAAAATTTAATATATTCTACATTTCACTATATTGATACCTATAAATTTTACTCAAAATTTCATTTTGAAAAACAAAAAAAAACCGTTTTTTTTCACATCTGAAAAAAAACCGTTTTTTACATCTCTATATCTAACCCATGGTACCATGATCTAACCGTTATAAATTTGAGTCAATTAATTTGACTTAAATTATGAAATTTTAGATTTTATAATATGTTTTAGCAAG